GCAACATGTTTCCTGCCTAGCAGGTCAGTGGACTTGAGTCTAGCCCACTGCTGTGGAGCCTGAGGTACCTTGATTTTCTTGCCAAGGGAGACAAGTTCCTCGATATCCCACGCCTCGGTTAGACCACGATCCCTGAGTTGCCACTGGGTCTTTATTTTGTGGGCTCCATTGTAGTACCTGCAGGACAAACCCTGACAGCAGAGAAACAAAACCCCACAGAGAAATGGTTCAGCAGAGTACTTCTTTTACTAGTTAGTTTGCGATAAAAATTCCAATCTCAACGAGTGAAAGATGACAGATGGGTGGGGGGGGGGGAAATGGGACCACGGTGCCCCCCCAAAAAGACATTTCCAATACACAGAAAAAAAAGAAATTTGTCAGTCCCTTCTTCAAATTTTTGGAAATCCCCAAACATTTTATTCTGAATCGGCCCTTGCAAAGAGGATGCCAACTTTACAATGTTTTACAGAAACAGTGAAGCTCTTTAACTGGTCTTTAAGACAATGAGGTGACAATTGAGACTTGCAACACACACAATGTTAGTTACAATATAGCTTGTCGATAGAGGGTGTCAAAAGAGGGCGCTTCCACGGACGTGGCTCATGCAACATGCACTGCCTGGATGTTTGGGTAGGTCGGATAAGTTGTATTACGGTACATGCACAAGATTACATGGCCAGTTTCCAGTAATACAAAGACGTGTCAAAGTTGCGACTGGCGGGAATTTTAGGGGTGAAACCGTAAGGGGGAGACACAAAGTGAAAAAGCGGAAGTTTTCTGCCCAAATCGGGGAGGTCTGCGACAGGTCAAACAATGTCTACAGCTTCTGCACAGAGTTCATAGGGCCTCAGTCACACATATTGACTTGAGAAAAAGTACCACGAATCATTATACCGTGGTGGGTCTACATAATTTCAATGCAGCGAGAGGAAATAAAAACGTTTACATTTCGTCCATCCAGCAATTCTTTACAGCCGTCGTTTTTATTGAAACTCCTGGACACATCTGGGTGGACACAGGTATACTCCCTGCTTCCTAGTATGCACATACTAGAGGAGAAAAAGACAAAGAAAGACGAGGGTGACCCAATCTCGTTGGGCAGGTTTTTCTCTGAGCGCTTCTTGAAACCTTCAAATCCTCCACTGGGGAAGAACAGAGTTCCCACAGGAATCGGAAAAACCAAATTCCACGACTTTTTCCCCAAGACTTTCCAGGACTAAAATATGACACTATCCGTGACATTTCTTGCAATTTTGCAGAGGAAAAGTTGTTTGGTAATAGAACTGGGAGACTGCCATGGCCGCTCCTACAGACTGACAGAGATAGCCTACAAATTTATCATTATTCCGTTACAGCCGGCAGCCCATCAAAATGGTCTCTTGCTTGATCTTAATACCCGTGACGTTTTCATGGCTTTCTTGGCTGACAACAGGATTCCAGAAAATCCTTATTTTTCCCAAATTTTCTTTGACTTCTCCGAGACTTTCCAGGATAACTTTTTCCAGGATTTTTTCATGATCGTGGGAAGCCTGAGAAAGCTTTACAAAACCTTTTGGAAATTTAACTTTCAAGGGCATCAAGTCTCTCGTAAAGAAATTACAGGCCTACTGTAATTATAATGCCCACATTTGAAGCACTTCTTCATGCACAGTGAGGATATAAATTGGTGGGAATGTGTCATCTCGGCATCCAGCACACAGGCAGAGACTGCACATTCCAAAGCACATGGTGAGTTTCTGCAAAGGGAGACCATTGTCGCAGCGTAGAAGCATGCCATGTTTGGTTTCCCCACGGGCAAATTGTTTCTGCAATTATCTAAATCTTTCCCCAAAACACCTGCAGGTTTTTTTTAAGGATCTGTGAGGTTTAGACACATGGGTTTCTTGTCAAAAACTCAGAAATTTCCAACATTTAGTACTTACGGAACGTCCTTGTAGGCTGTTCGGCCGAGTTCTCTCACAATCTGAGCAATCTGCTTGTGGGTCCGAGTGCCAAAGTAAATCTTAGGAATTCTGGAAAATGTCGTCCAAAATTCAGTTCAGCAAGTTTCAAAAAGAAATTGGAGCGAAGAAAGAAAACTAAT